TCTAATGAACTTTTCATAAAATAACTTTTGTAAACCAAAATGTGGTTTTAAAATGCAAGAGAACATGGTCCATATCTTTATCATGCTTTGGAACTTCTTTTTCGCCAAAAAAAAAATAAAAATAAATAATAATTCAGGCAATTTAGAATAAGATTTTTTTATCATAAAATAAACTTTATTTCATTGTGCATATGAATTAAATATTCCTTTTTGAAATTTAATTATATTAAAGGAAATTTGGTTACGATGTTATCAACAACTTTTACATTTTTGATCACTAATAATGCAGAGGATCACTAGCCCAAAACATGTACGCAGAGAGCTTAGTGCTGACGTCAGCTACATTTGCGGCAGCCATGAGCAATCTCATCCCCGCGGTTACTTTCGTCCTAGCAATATTTTTTAGGTATATTATTAATTAAATTTTATAGAAACAAAAATATGCATATATCAGGATGTAATATTTGTCATTTTATTAATTATATTATATTTATAAATAGGATGGAAAGACTAGGGCTGAACACAAGGGCTGGCAAAGCAAAGGTGGCGGGAACAGTGCTATGCATAGGTGGCGCAATGGTTTTGACTTTCTACAAGGGCTGCCAAGTCAATATTTGGTCAACCCACTTTGACCTTCTGCACAAGTACCATCAACCAGGTGGACACGTGGCAGCATCCCACCACAGGCCCATTAATAACATCCTGGGCCCACTGCTGGCTCTTGGTTGTTGCATCTCTGTATCGCTTTCATTAATTGTTCAGGTTACCCTCGAAAACAATATTTAATTATAAGAATAATAATAACAAAAGTCCAAAATTAATTATCTTTGTCACTCAAAAGTTAAATTCTACAGAAAATAACAATGCTCTCGGCAATTAAATTCTATAAAATTATAGTATTCGTATTGGTTGTTAGGGCATCAATATTAAATTAATCTAATAGAGAGCATTTTGGGCATAGAATTTATGAATTAACACATAATCATGAAGTGTTAAAAATAGCTATACAAATTGGCATACGCAAAGATTCATTTACAAACTGCTAATTAATAGCAAGATTGTAACTTTTGGCTTCTATCTTTTATTGCTTACATGGTATACTTCTTATATTCTTGCTTACATGGTATACTTCTATCTTTTATTGCTTTAGACAAAGATGAGTGAGATATATCCTTGCAACTATTCGAGCACGGCCTTAATCTCGATCATGGGATCATTTCAAACCGTTGTGTTCGCTCTTTGTACTGAAAGAGATTGGAGCCAATGGAAACTCGGGTGGAACCTTAGGCTTCTTACAGTTGCTTACATGGTATACTTCTTATATTCTTGGTTATAACAAAAATTGGATCATATGTTGATGAGAATTTTGGTTAGATCTGAAATTTTCCTTTAAATTGTCCAAAAACGAAAAAAAAAAAAATAATAATATTATGTAGGGAATTATGGCATCAGGGATAATGTGGGTATTCACCATGTCATGTGTAAGGATGAGAGGGCCGCTATTTGTATCGGTTTTCAATCCTTTGCTGCTCGTGCTCGTTGCACTAGTAGGCTCTTTGCTTCTGAACGAGACGTTACACTTGGGAAGGTAATATACAATATAATATTTTAATATGAATTATTGTTGTAAATTAGGTGCTCATCTCATCATTTGTCCTAATTAATATTCATTTTATTTTGGTTTTCGTGCATATAATTATTTTACAGCGTGCTTGGAGCTGTGGTAATAATAGTTGGATTATATTCAGTGTTGTGGGGAAAAAGCAAGGAAGTAAAGAAGATTACTCGGCTTGTGCCATCAAAGAGCTTTGCAGAGCAAGTTGAAAATGGCGAAGCTACAAAAGATGGAGAGAGCTTCAAGGGTATAAATCATGGCAGCAATATTATGGCCGTGACTCCAAACTTCCTACCCGACTCTGAAAATATCGAGGTTTTTGATGAGGATGAGGAGCAAGATTTAGAGGCTAATAAGGGAGATCAAATAAAATCCTCGATGTGAAGCCTAGCCTAGCTAATATTATGTACCTTTTGGCTTTAAGAGGGAAGTAAAAATTAAGAAAATTACTGGTTTGTGAAAATGGTTACTGCTAACGTTAGGGATATATCACTGATTTGAAGAGAGTGGTGATGACAAAACAGGGAAAACCAAGTTATGTATGTTATTCTTTTATGGTCCATGTGTGTTCTTTCAACTTTGTCTGAAAAATTAAAGAAATTATTTTATTGTCTTATGCACTTGTGCTCCTCCATCATCATTATGCTTCTTTTGTGTTAAATAGATTTTGGGGTATGCTGATAGAATCTGTACACTTCAATGTTTCAATTTAATCATTTTTTTATTTAGTAATTGGTCACGGTTTTAATTCCAGTAAGAAAAATAAAATAACAATGCAAATTTATAAGAATAAAAATAATGGGTTGCTGGAGATAAAATAATAAAAATAAATAAATGGACTATTATGCGAAGTAAGTATAAGAATTAATAGTCTAATGGTCATTTTAGAGGGAGTACAAATCATTACATCAACTACATGACCTAGGTACGGAGTACCCTTTCTAGCCAAGAAAAATAAAATAACAATGCAAATTTATAAGAATAAAANAATACGAGGTGAGTAAACAAACAGGTTTGCAGACCTAAATTAGCACAATGCATCAGTAGAAAACCAAAATTCACCTCATTTGAAACAGATGGAGAGATTTTCTCCAATGCTTTCTTGAAATGTGTGGCTTTGATGGCCAATGGTACACCGGAACTTCTAATCAGTGGTATTTCCTCAACAGCAGCCAGTACAGCTTCATTCATCTGTCATTTATTAGAGGAAGTTACTGATAAGCTTCAACAAATTTCCTTCTTTGAATTCCAGAAAATGAAAAAATTCTAAACAATCAACACATAACATAAATTACTTCTTCCAAGAGTAGTTGCGTGTGTGTTTGTCTGCATATTAAACCGAATTAAGCCACTCATTTGGTCATCCAATTCTCTTTTCCTTTCCCCACTGATAATTTCACATTTAGAAAAATTAAAAAAAAAAAAAAATGTCTATCCTATTTGATTACATGGAAGGATGATTATGAAAATACTATAATTTTTTTTTATTTAATCTATAACCCTACAAAATGGATCTTCTGGATCAAATGATAGAATTAAAAGAGGTAGGAACAAAAAAAGGCATACCAAAGCAGAAAGATCAGCACCACTAAATCTTTCACAAGCCACATCTGTCCCTATGGCCATGAGGTCCACATCGGCATCTAGCAATTTATTCCGGGCAAGAGCTTTCAAGATCATCACTCGCTCGTCAGGGCTAGGTAGAGGGATGTATAGAAGCTTCCCTAACCTTCCAGATCTGAGCAGTGCAGGATCAATGACATCTGGTCTGCCAATATATGTCAAATAAAGATGAGAATTGTCAATAAAAAGACAGGGCCAATTGATGTCAGAAAATATTGGACAAGGGCCTCGAGGTAATTTTGGTTACCTATTTGTAGCACCAATTACATAAACACCGTTCCTCCTTCCCGCTCCATCCAGCTCTATAAGGAGCTGCAATGAAAGATGTCATATTCAGAAGTATTTTGACTTAAAAGAAGAAAAAGAAAAATGAGCATAAGTAACACGACAACAAATCAGTAAATCATCCATCATACCTGGTTCAAGAGCCTTTCAACAACCCATCCCCCTTCTTTACCGCGCCTTGTTGTCAGTGAATCCACCTGATTGAAAAGGATAAATGGAAATAACAAATATAAGATAACAACCCATTGAAATAAAGATAGCAAGACAGTGGGAACTGAGAACATGTAAGTCATGTACGCTCTAGTTGGAAAAAAATAAATTGATGGTCGAAAGAAGTAATATATTCAGGGTGAATGAAGTCGGGATTCAAAATATAAATGAAATATCAATTAAATATCTACCAAGTATGGTGAAAATAGCATTTTCATTTCTAGAGTATGTCATAAGATTTCCTTTTTTTTCTTTTTTAAGATTGATTGAGGTTTCGGATGCTTGGATATAAATTTTTTTGGTTTTGATTTGATTTTTTGGTTTGGTATGGTTAATTTTGAAAAAGGTGGTATGGTTGGGATTTTGAGTTCATATTATTAATATATAAAATAAAATAATTAAAGTTAATTTGATGTAAAAGTAGGAGAGATACGATGTGAAGTGATGGTTAGTTAAAATTGTGTAAGTGGATGAATAATGAATTAAGATTTATGTAATGTGTAAGAATGATTGAATGATATTATTTAATTATATTGATAATATTGAGGATAGTGGGGCTGAATTAAAGTTGGGTTAGGTTTGAGTTAAAATGAGTGATTGGTTAAAAATTATTGGATTTTATTTGATAAATTTGTATCCAAGCATCCTAAGTTTCAGTATTTTCAGTTTGGATCTCAATGCTCTTACTCTTAATCCCTGTACAGAGAGGAATTACTCCTGAATTCACTCACAAAGTCACTTGGGCGGTTGGGCCCACAAGGATTTCTCCCAAGCACAATGTTTGCAAACCTTTTGCAATACAAATGATATCTAGCTCACTTGTGTAAGTTCTCAGAAGAATTAATGGTTGTACTTCAAGCTCTGGTATGTAGTCGCTTTATGTAATCCTCTCATTCTACTACTAGTTTCACCTCATTGAAAACTCTGCTAATTTACTAACATGGGAATTCATTGCTAAAGAACTGAGCATTACACATAAACATTTAAAGGCACAAGATAAAGGTCAATTCCCAAGATAAAAGACAAGTTGTACCTCATCAAAGAAAAGAATGCATGGAGAACATGTCCTTGCTCGACTGAAAATTGTCCGCACGGCCAACTCACTTTCCCCAACGTATTTGCTCAAAAGTTCAGGACCCTAAGTGTAGAAAAAACCCAAGATGGTAAGAAACCAATGAATATTGATATCAGCAGGTATATTATAGCATAATACAATCCAATGGAGAACCTTTATATGCATGAAATTAGCTCCAGCCTCGCTAGCAACCGCTTTGGCAATCAAGGTCTTTCCACAGCCAGGAGGACCATAAAGCAAAAAGCCTGTCTCCAAGTCGAATCCAAGATTCTACAAGTAAATGAAATCAATTTTAAAAAATATATTTAAAAAAAAAAGAAAAAATATAAAACAAAACAAAATAAAACCTGAGAGATACTTGATAATATTGACAAAAATTAACCCTCACCAACTTTTTTCATCTTTGTAGGTTACCCATTTTCCATGTTAAACATAGAAGTATCAATAAGGTTTATATCCCAATAAGAAGCTTGAACTTACAGAGAAGCCAAAACTATCACAGAAATAACACGAGTGATCTGCTTAAAACCCAATGTACATTAGCTCAAAAAATTTGAAAGTGAAACAAGTTACCTTATAAATATCAGGAAACCTTAAAGGTTTAATAATATGACGATCCAACTCCTCTCTGAGTGAATGAAGACCTCCAACATCATCCCACTTCACATTTGGCACATCAGAAAATCCTTCCCTTTTAGAACAAGGTTGAATAATTTTAATAGCTTCCTGCTCACAATTAAATGAAGTAATTATAACGCAAACACCAATAGACAAAAACAATGTAAGATCACGAACTTGAAAATAAACAAGGGTAATGCAGAACTCCAAATAGCAGAAGTAAAACAGAGAAGCATTTTGTAGTTACAAGGGCAAGTTCCTTATTTATTTTTATTCTATATAGTCAAAGCAAAGGTTGTATGGCAATGAATTTCTTAAAAGTTCACAGCCTTTACTGATCTCTGAAGCTTGAGATATATCTCCACATAAATGCCAAAGTTTATCCTAGAAAGTATTTGGTGTATGTGTTAATTTTGAAATAAAAAGTCATGACGCTAACAAAGGGAAGTGCCCAGATCTGCTAATGTGGTGTAAATCTGGTAAAGAATGATTTATTAGCATAACACAGAACACACGATACACTGTATTAATTTTGTCCTACCATGCAATTATTGGCATATGGTTCTTTTAGCAAGATACTGGTTACGTTTTAAGCACTGAGCAGCAAGGAAAAATGCTATACTATGAACAAACAGTGGACAGAAACATATTCATATTTGAATTCTATGTTTATGCATATGAAATATATACACGGATATTAGCTACCTCAAAATCAGAAACAGTCATACTGGCAAGCTCCAGTTCTTCGTTTGACAATGGAGACCTCCAGATTTCTTCACAAGAAACATTTTCGTGCTCTTTGGAAAGCACAAGTTTTCTCTTATCCATGATTCTATTCATTGCAAGGTAACCAGCCTCATTACACAATGCTTCCAGATCTGCTCCGACAAAACCGGGAGTGGACCGAGCTATTTTCGAGATATCAAGAGCACCTTCAACTTTAAGATTGCACGTAAGCTTTGATAATATTTGTACCCGCGCATATTCATCTGGAACACCTAAGGCAATTTCACGGTCAAATCGTCCAGCCCTCCTCAACGCAGGGTCAAGGGCATCAGGTCTGTTGGTTGCTCCAATCACAAGTACATAATGAGATCTAGAATCAGAGCTGCTAGAACCAGCATTTAGGTCTGCAGGTTTTGCGAGCTTGCTTGATTCATCCATGCAAGTGATCAACTGTGTCACAATACGGAGCTCCATTCCACGAGAGTTTTCTCTTTTAGCAGCAACTGCGTCAATTTCATCTATGAACACAATAGATGGTGCGGTCCTCTCTGCTTTTGAGAATAAATCACGGATATTTTCTTCTGATGCGCCTGAAAAGTGTTTGGAAAGGGAAAAAAGAATAGAAAGCCTCATAAGTAATTTCAAGTCCACAACAGGCATCCTCTACAAAAGAGAACTATGTGGTTGAAAACCTATCATCAAACAAAAACTGCAAATTCTAAGTCAAATGCTCTAGCACCCTATGGATAGATGGCTCTGTCCTCTCTGCTTTTAAGAATAAGTCACAAATGTTTTCTTTAAACACACCTGAAAAATCATTCAGAAAGGAAAAGGAGAACAGGAAGCCTCAGAGGTAATTTTAAATCTACAATGGACTCGGAAAGTGACCTATTTTCATCGAAACCTGTCATCAAAGAAAATCTGCAAATATTTATTTAAATCACCTAATACCCTATGACAGACAAAATATAAAGCCATGCAAGGCTCCATTAAGCAATGGATGCAAAGAAATCTAGGGATCCCACATTAATAAGACAAAAAAGGTTGGGTAGAGTTATCAAATTTCCGTCATAGCGGTATGACGTGGCAGATTTCTGCCCAACTATAAGTAACTTGTTAAGGGTGGCAGTTATGGCGAGGTACAGGTCACAATGGTGGCCTTTATGGCGGGATTTCAGCCTGCCGCCAATTCCGTCATCTGCCATTGGTAACACTGGTTAAGTACTATGGTATATTGAAATCTCAAAGATTTTGATTTTTAAGATAACAACAATTCAGCATGTGATTCCCAACTTGTTAAATAACAATATAAGTGGTGGTAATTCTTGTACGAAAGCTACTTCAAAGAAGCTGGAGAGTTTTCTCGGATGTTTATGAATTTTCTAAACACAATTTCTTCCTGAAATCTCACCAGCTAGGGTTTGATAGTGGGCCAAATTGGTAAACTGGAACCAGGGGTATATCAATCCAATTACAACAAAATGCCATTTTTATAAAAGAGCACGAGCTTTTACAAATTTGCAGGTATCTTGTTATTTGCAATCTACGACTTTCAGAAGCTAATCATACACCTAATAGGTTAGATAGAAGTTCAAACCGATACAGAATTTAAGGCTTTTGAATACTTTTCTCGATCATTATGAAATGACCCATGCATCATAAGCTCTTACTATAAATTACAGAAACAAGGTTATACCCAGAAAATATTTATAACGTCAATCAAGATAGAAGTAAACCCGGCCCAATTGCATTAGCACTCTCACAACACACAACACAGCTTTTTCTCTAATTCATTCACACTTAAGTAATCCCGAGTTGAAATGCAACTGTACCAGAAACTCCAGATACCAATGCCGGTGCAGATATTCTGTAAAACGAGGCTTTAGTTTCATTAGCAATAGCCTCAGCCAATGAAGTTTTCCCGCAGCCAGGTGGACCGTGTAATAGAATCCCCGTAACTGGTTTAACTCCAAGCTTGCGAGGCAGCTCTGGATGACAGAAGGGGAGAAGGACCTTCCTCCTCAATTCCTCAATAGCTCCATCAATCCCCCCAAAATCCCTAAACATACGCTTACTAATCTCCTCACCAGAAACCCCTCCACCTTTGGAACCACCACTAATGTTACTCTGACCACCGCCTGATAATTTACCTACCTCATTCATCAAGTGCACCTTGTCATCTAGTATCTCAACTTCCATAACTTGCTCAACCTTTCCCCTGCTGCGTGATTCCTGGGACTTCTTACACAGCTTCTCCCGCATCAGCGACCTAGTCAGGTCAACGTCCGGCTCGAATTTCTCCTCGTAGATGGCATCCATGGCCGAGGACGCCTCTGCATCGGAGGACGGAGCAGCTCGATCTGAAGAACTGGCGGAGGCCTCGAAGGACAACGGGCAGCTGCTTCTCGGCACCTCGTTTGTTTTTCTTCGTTTATTCGCAACAGGAGTCCCACTGCCGCCGTCGGACCCATCCATGGCGTTGTTTCTTCGGCTCAAAACCTCAAAAATTCTCTCGACGCTTTTGGCGAACGGACGCCGCTTGCAGCGTTTGTAGAGGGGCTGGGAGCAAAGGTGCTCCACCAGTTCTTCGACGGTTGAGTGCTTCTTCATGGCGGACTCAACGTCGGAGCGAAGACGACGAAGGTTTTCTCCACCGTTGCCGGATGTTTTCCTCATGTCGCCGCCTCTTATTCTCACGAGGAGGTAGGTCGGGTTGCTCTTGTTAGGATGATGGAGTGACCAAAAGAGGGATTTTGAAACCGAGAGAGGAACGAACATAACCTAACCGAGCTCGGGCTGTTTGACCTCGAGCTCGACTAATATTCGAGCTTGTTCGAGTTCGTTTGTTTATTAGTTGAGCCTAAATTTATGTTCGTTTTCGTTCGTTTAATTATTCGACAAGTTTGTGTTCGACTCGTTTAGCTAATCGAAATTATTTGAACGTTTCGAGCGTTCGATTAGCTCGAATAGTTCGATTATCTAATCTTAAGAAATGCTTATTTACTTTTATTATTATTATTATTATTACTATTAAAATTCTTGTTGTTCGCGAATACTCGTTTATGTTCGCGGATGTGTTCGTGTTCGTTCAGATAATAAACGAGTTGAATTACATGTTCAAGCTCAGCTAGATTATTAAACGAACGAGCCCTAAGTGAATACGAACGAGCTTTCGTGCGCGAATATTCGGTTCATTTGCAGCACTACTAGTACGTAAAGACTCTCGACTGCCCGAGCTATCCGATAGTAATAAATCAAAAACCGAATGTCTCACCCCTATTTAAAGGGTGAGATACCTGTTTCTAGAAGGCTGCTGGATATGGTGAGCTGACTGCCTAAGTTTCCCGAGCTGCCCGATAGTACCACCCCCATTGCCCATTGTCAGAGGTGGTTGTATGGTATAGACCAATCAGGTAGTGTTACGTAAAGTGTTAGTTATGGCAAGATTATTTCTTATCTCTTAATCCTTCGCATTGGACTGTCTGGTAGTACGACCAGCTTGAGGTCTGCTGAGGTAACATACTAACTGACTTTCCTGGACTGAGTGTTGTCCTTTCTGGTCGATCCTACGATCAGTCGTGCCTACAGGTCGAGTTTCTATCAGGCCAGCCGAGGGCCCTACCTCGACATGTTGTTGTTGCCTTGTACCCCTTATGTTGTCTTCCAGATCAAAGGCTCTTAGTCCTAAAGTGGTGATGTTCGCCCACCATCGACCTTATGTTCTGCTCGACCTATTTGACCGGCTTATTCCCTTAAGTATGGTATTCCTATCATTTAGTCACCCCCTCCCCACGCTCTGGTCGAGTTAGAATAACTTGATCCAATAGTAGATGTTTTTCTTTGTCTTTCAATCATTATGCTCCGCCTTGAGTTTTCGACTTGTCTGTCTGCTATTGTCACCCTTGTTTTTCGTCATATTTTTTTCGACCAGTTCGCTTCTTATTTCACAATGTTCGATCTCTTTCCCTCCCACTCTGGTCTTCACTTTTTAAAATTAGAATTTCAAATCTCCATCTTATCAGGCCTGCTTACCTATCAGACATGTCAATCAAAATGTCGGGCTGACGTCATTCCCCGTGAATCACGTTGCCTCGTACGATGCGTCCATTTGATGTTTCATATAAAGTGATAGTTGGATTAATGCCTTTAATCCAATGGTTAATGAATTGATGTCTCTTCCACTAGCCTTTTGAGACCAACCTTATCGGTGACCCAACCCAATGGGTCACCAGGAAAAAGAAAAAAAAACAAAAAAAAAAGACTGGTGGTGTGAATAATGAACGTGGAGGAAAAGAATAATCGTGGGCTGCAACAGCTGCCAGTCTGTGAAGCTTTAGTGCATAACTCTGAAGCTTTTTTGCTTTTTTTATTTTTTATTTTTTTTTATTCAATTATTGGTGAGTTAGATAAGGCATGGGACACATGTCCCTTTTTAATTGGAAGCAATAATTTTATTCTGATAAGATAAGATAACTCAATAATTGAGTTTATTATATATTAAAAAAATAAAAAATATCAAAATTCGTATTTTTCCATTCTCTATAAATAGAGACCACTCTTGATATGTTTTAGATCACAACTGAAATTTCTCTCTTTTCACCATTTTCTTAATCATACCTTATTAATTTTATCATCTCTTTTATTTCTCTTAATTTCCAACAAATACCATATGGATCCAAATTTTGTATTATCTCAATTTTCAAAATTTGTCAAACTCTGAAAATTTTCAGAATTTTGAAAATTATTCACAAGAGCCATCTATATATATATAATTGCTAGCTAATATTTAATAAAACATTTAATAAAAATATTTTCACTTTCCCTCCAAAAGAAGTTACATTTTTTTTAATTAATTACTCATTAATCTCACATTTAAGAAGGTTTTTTATAGTTAAATTTAGTTAGTTAATGGCTAAATTAAAAAGATTTATGTTAAGTGCAGCATTATCTTAATATCTTATCAGTTTTTCAAAAAAATAGTAACTTTTTTCAATAAATTTTATAAAAATTAGTCAAATGTGCTTATATTCATATAAATCAGAAAAAAAAATTAAATCTTAGATATATAAAAAGAACATCGTTGAAATAACTTGAATCCGCAAGGGTAATTCTATACTCATTATCAATTACTTTAAATTTTTTGTTTATATAAAAAATTAATATTATATTTACTCATTTATATTTAGATGGTATTTTTTTTATTAGGAAGCAAGGACAATCTCTATCAATCAATAAAAGTCAAGGACAAACAATATAAAGAAGTGTTTCCTATGCTATGACATGATCAAGGCAAAATTTCAAAATTGGTCCTATAACTTGGCCACTGTCCAAAAAATCACCCCGATATTGACCAATTTCAATTTAGGTCCTATTTCATCAATTTTGGTCCTTTTCATCAGCATGCTGGATTAAAAAGTGACGTGGCATGACGTGTCAGTTTTTTAATTTTACATGGCGTGGTTATGATCTACGTGGCACGTCAATTTTGGTCCTATAATTTGTCGATTTCATCAATTTTGGTCCTTTTTTCATGCCACGTCACTTTTTAATCTAGGGTGCGGATAAAAAAGGACCAAAATTGATGAAATTGACAAATTATATGACCTAAATTGAAAGTGGTCAATATAGGGGTGGTTTTTTGGACAGTGGCTAAATTGTAGGACCAATTTTAAATTTTTTCCCATGATCAATAAGAGTCAAAGACAGTCTCTGTCGCACGTCGGCTTACTACTGAAGAGCTCTGCATTTAGTCATGAGCAATTATACGTGGCACTTTTTAGAGTTACGAGACAGTGGGGTTTGAAGATTTTGATTTGAGCTGAGGGAGATTTTGACGATAGAAAAATAACAACGTTGTTTTATAAAGAAGTGTTTAAGAATATTTATATTTTTTTTCTTAATTTTTTTCAATGAATTTGTTATGATTTTTATTATTTTTATAATTTTTATTATTTTTTCATGTATCATATAGTTTTCCGTGCAAATGCACGGGACAAAAACTAGTTTTTTCCTAATCTTACCCAATTTTCAGTTTCTGTAAATGCCCAACCCCTACAAAACATCTCCCGAAATCTATTTCAAAATGTGCAAAAGACACGCACAAATCCTCAAAAAGGAACGAAAAATGTTAGTTGGAGTGTGGCGGAAGATCTTGCTCTAATGTCAGCTTGGTGTTTTGTTAGCGAAGACAAACTGTGTGGCAAGAATCATAAGGGTTCTTCATTATGGTCACGCATATAGCTCAAATGCTTGAGCAAGCTCAAATGAAAAATCCATAAGAAATTGGTGAAAGAAACTTGGATTCAATGAAAGGTCATTCTAAACGCCTTAATGAAAATGTAAACAAGTGGAGAGGTGCTTACATGGAAGCATACAGAAATAAAAGGAGCGGAATGAGCATAAAAGATGTTGAAAAAGAAGCTCATATAGTTTATGAAGCTGGTAGTAGCAAGTTTACAGACTTGCATGTGTTTGAAGAAGTCATACGGAAGCATCCCAAATGGGAATTAAAATTAGATCGTGATTCAACTCGTTCACGCCCTGAAGATGAAGCGAGTAATGAAGAAAGCCATGGCAGTTCCAAAAGATCAAGGACTACTGAAGATGGAGATTATTCAATTCCCTCAAATCAAGAAACTCCAGTTAGTGATGGTTTTGTGATTCCCCGTCCCGAAGATAGAGATATGCCAAAAAAAAAAAGGAAAAAAGGTAGCATCACAATCTTTTTCCATTCCTGACGAGTTCACTGCAGAAATTCGTGCACTAAGACTTACAAGAAAGAACGAATATGATTTAATGACAAAAATATCGAATGATAGGATGGAGTTGGAACGCAAGAAATAAGAAAGGAAGATTAAGAAAATGAATATGATGGTGTTGAATACGTTGTTGGCAAAACACCACTTATCGCCGGAAGATGAAGAGATGAAACGTCAATTATATTCAATTTTATTTGGAAAGTCGATGTAATTTATTATCATGCAGCTTTCATTTATGTCGTTTTAGTTATTCTGATGTAAGCTTTTCAATTCTTGTAATTCAAGTTATTCAATAAAAGTCTATTTAGTAAGTGTTTTTCTCTAATCTTTTTCAGAAATCACATGTTACTTCAATGATTGTCCTATCCACTAGTATAATAGTAACATATAAAATAAATGACCAAGAGCTATTTGGAATATAGTGTATGAGTTATTACTATCAAATAACAGCTTTATTTTGTCTTCCAAAAATCACATGCATTGAATCCGGATCAAATAGCAGCTTTATTCAATAAAATTTACATTCATTGAATGCATATGTAGCTTTTATTTATTTTAATTTACTTTTGCTTTTACTTTACTTTACTTTTCTTTATATTAACTTTACTTTACTTTTCTTATACATTTACTTTAATTTTATTTTAAGTTAAATCTACACCAACTCTTCATACTACACTCCTATATAATATGGTTGGATTCAGATCAAATGGATATCAAAATCAGATCATATCTATTTTCTTTATATCAGTTATAACTTTGTTTTTTCGTAAGACAATTCATTCTTGTTCAGAAATGTCTTCGACTGAAAACTCATCTGAAAATTCAAGTTCTAGTTCTGAAACTTTCAATTTCATCGAATTTGATGAAGGAAGAACGAGTGATTCAACAAAATCAACAATTTGATCGTATTATAGAAGATTTGATTGTTCGTATTCAAAATATGGTCTTACACCCAACAAATCCCGTTCCTAGAGGTAGAAGGCAAGTCATTGAGAGGC